CAGGACTCCTAATTTTTATCAGTTTCCTAGTTCTATTGTGCAAAGAATTCCTATTGCATACGGTACCAATCCCACACATTAAATATCTCTCATCTCTCTTAGCACTTTTTTTTTTATATTTCTCTCACGAACCTCTCTCTTCTCTCCCTCTCTCTCTCACGTTTTTCTTTACCGATCATCATCGCCCAGCATCATCGATCATCTTCTTCAAGCTCTGCTCTCTTCCTAGCCCGCCATCACCATCATCAGGTCACCATCATCATCGCCATCATCGTCCCTCTCCTCCGGCCATCTTCATCGCCCACGAAGCTCCATCTCAGTCGCCGAGCCCTTCACCGCAAATAGCAGCCCTCCATCACCATCGATCATCCTCCACCGTGAGCGAGCAGACCCCAGCCCTCCACGAAGCAACGCTGTCGGGACGCGAGGAGTTCCATCGGAGTACTCATCGTAGCCGTCAAGCCCCGTCGAGTTCCGTCGGAGCGTCAACCGTAGCCGGCGAGCCCCGACGCAAGCCGTAGCCACCACGCAGCAAGTCACCTTCCCCGCCGTGAGCCACAAGCTTCACCGTGAGGAGCCCTCATTGCCATCATCCTTCCACGACGAGCAACGCAGCCATTCACCGCAGCTCCTCCACGAACGGACAGCCCTTCACGTACACGGCCAAGTTCATTCGAGCCCCTTTCGAACCCTTACCGTCATCCTTTGTCCGAGCGGTAAAATTCTAACATCTTAACCTCTTATGGACTGTTAATTTGAATTCTTTTAAGTTACGTAAGAATTATTAATGTGTTAAGACTTGATAATCGAATCTAGTATGCTTGCTTAAGGTCCGAGTAATTTATTGTTGAGTTATTGTTGAAATGGGAATTGGTCGGAGCCTTACCGGGCTTCCGAAAGGATTATTTTAATGATATGTGAATAGGGTTTATTGTTGTCAATTTATATGTTCCTAATCGTGTCTTATTGCGTGATAAACGTGCCTAGAATCATCGATTATATGTTGCTTTCGACATGTTAAGAAGTTCGGAAAATTGGTATGATTTCATGTGTAATTGCTGTTTATGTGCTGTCTGTTCGGGAGCAGTTTATGCCTCTGATACTGTGTTTTCGGTTTTCGAGTTCTTCATATGATATGTAGTTCGTACAGTTGTGTTTACGTGAGCTTTGGAATCGTGCAGTTTCGACTTAAAACGAATAAGTTATGATTTTTACAAAATTGACTGCGCGAGCAGTTTTTCTTTAATTCGACTGCAGTTAGGTTTAAATGTTTCGTGTGTTTATGATATGATAATGTGCTCAAATGAATCTGAAGTCTTTATTGAAATTGTACTTCTATGTGTTATCTTTCATGTGGTTCTGGAATCAAGC